CTGTTGCTAAGTAAAAGACTTTCCCGTTCCTACCGCTTATTTGGCCTTTGGTCATGGAATACAACAGTGTCACTGAGCTCCGGTCCGATTGGTTTTGTTGTTTGTGATCAGGTATATGATGGAATCGAACAGACATTCATCACATTTCCTATTGCAGTGGACAAAAGCAACGGGTCCGTAACTCAGTGACAGGGTGTTGCACTCCATCACCAAAGGGTCGTGGGTTCGAATCTTGGGGATAGTCTCCCCTGGAATTGGGTATGACTAGCTGGTGCCATCCCGGTCTCCCTTTGGTTTGTCAGATCCATTTCATCATATTTTGCAAGTCGCCATGCGGCTGCCTGCGACGGCTGTAGATTGATCCTCAAGGTGCAACAGGACGAGTACGTTTCCTAAACAGATTGGTGGGCCTCCTGCCATTCGTCCTGTTGTTCCTTACTCTGTTAAGCTCAGAAGGAGAAGACTATCAATCGATATTTAGAGTTCACAATACCCACACTGGCTGACCGCCAGGATTTTTGTCATCTCGTTTCGTTGGTCTAGCCCCCCCCTCTACTTCACCTTTTTCATCAACGCCATTGCCTTTTGGTGCTTGAATTGTGATGAAACTGAATATTCGGCGTGGGTCACTAATAAAGTAGGACTGACTGGTCGGCGATCTTGAGAAAGAACTCAACGCAATTCCTATTCTTCGACCGGCTTTTGCGGGTGGAAATCTTGTCAGTCCGGTCACCTGGTGGTGCGAATTTATGTCTGAGCTACTGCCGGTTGTCTTTTTGTTTTACAGTTTATTTTTACGTGTGTTGTATTTAAACATTTCATTTCCTCTTCGTCTTCTTTAGAAAAACCCAAGTTTGTGTGCAACATTTGTAACAAGCGCTTAATCACACAGAAGGAGTTTTGTAAACACCGTCGCGAGCACTCTGAAGGTTAGTTTGGCAATGATTCTCTCTACTTTCTTATGCCTCGCTCCCTAACGCCACCTTTGTTCACACTGGTTTATTCGAAGACTAATAGCATTCATAGAAAATCACTTATTTCAAGGCTGTATCTAGCCGCAGCTGATTTTTTGGGGGGTTGAGGGCTGCTTCTGTTTGGCCGCCGAACTGGTGTCCCTACGGACGAGGGGTGTCAGTCGTCTCATGCTGAATTTGAAAATGTCCCATTTTGTGCTTTTGTTTTTCAACCTCAAGCGCCAGTTCAGACGTACAACTGTGAACACTGTCCGGACAGCTTCACGGACCCTTTTCACCTTCTTTGTCATCTCAGAGCGGTTCACACCGGTAAACACCTGCTCAATTATTTATTTATTGGTGTCTTCTACA